GTTTGGAGGAAGACAAAAACAAATTGAAAATATCTAGTCTCAGAGTTGGTAGAATTGGGAGGCAAGTCTATGAAGATATTATCTATTTATAATTTTAGACCACACGTTTCAAGAATGAGTATAAAATATGGGAAAAATGTTACGGTCACGTTACTGACCACTCCGTCAAGATTTATAACTATTAAATTATCATGTAATCGTCAGGGATAATTGATCTAACGGTTACAAATCCCGACAAAATGGTTCCATAACGAGACCGTAGCATCTCTACAATATGGTACTTGCACTTATCCATTTCCATTCCATCCTTTTTCCTATATATTTTGTTCTCTTTTCTTTTCTTTAAATTTTCTTCTTTTCTAAACCTACTAAATCTACAACAAAATATTAAGTACAATAGAACAAAGAAAAACGATACCACTATCAACCATCAACCACATGTAAAATCAAAATTTCAATTTTGGTCCTTTAAGTTGTACATTATTCATGATAAATATTTTTTCTACCTAAGTCTACCAATAAAAAGTTGACACAAAACTTTGCTAACTTCTGGTGGAGCTCTGGTAACCCCTCGAAGAAAAATATCCACTGGAAATTATAGAAGTTGCTCACATTGACAAAGCACAAAGGTGGATTTGGATTCTTAGATTTGCACTTAATAATCATGGCCCTTATTGCAAAGCAAATTGGAGAGTTCTCATAAAGCCAAACCATCTGGTGAGCAAGATTTTAAAAGCAAAGTATTGCTACAAGGAGTGTTTCTTCTCTGCTGCTAAAAAATAGAACAGCTCGAAGTGGAACTCTTGGCTCTCTGTTAGAGATTCTCTTCATAATGGATTCAGGTTTGCGGTTGCAAATGGGCACAATATCAAAATATGTGATCACCCTTGGATTCTTATCATTCCAGGCTTCAAACTAAGGAAATCCACTCAATCAAGAGGCACCAGCTCTGGGTAAGGATCTTATGGATTTTGATGGAAGGAATTGGAACAAAGAAGATTGTTTTGAACGCATTCTCAAAGGATTAGAGTGAAGCTATCTTCAGCATAAAGGAGTTAGAGCCAAACAAGGAGGATATACCTGTATGGGATAGTGGAGGTAAGGGAAAACTCTCAGTCAAATGTGTTTACTCAATGTTGATAGCAGAAAAATACGAGCCGATGGATGTAGCTGAGAAGAGCAATGAGCAGTTGGAAGCTAAGAAGATGAGGAAGAGGAATTGGAGTCTCCAGGTTGAGGAAAACATAAACATTTTCTTTGATAATGTGCTCCTAATCTTCTCCCAGTCAATGTCAATCTCACCAAGAAATGTATCTCTTTAGACCCCATTTGCAAAGCTTGTGGAGACTTTGAGAAAACCTTGGCACACATGTTTTTTATTTGTTCAAGAGCAGAACTTATCTGAAAACTTTCCCCTCTTCAATGGGATGGTCAAGATTTAGACGCATATTGCTTCAAGGATTGGTGGACAAAATTCTGCAACCTCAGCAAATCCACTACCTTAGAGGCCAGACCCAACTCACTACCTATATTTTATGGGGTATCTCGAAGTCCAAGAACCAGATCACGTTCAACAACTTGAGAAGGCATGATTGTCTATGGTTAACTTAGTTTGTTTTGAATGGATGAAATATTGTTCTATTTCTTCTTTGAGTTAATGGGTTGTATTTGACTTTGGTATCTGGTTTCTGCTGTTGCTGCCCTTGCTACTTTGTTGGGTTTTTGCTGTTTATGTTCCTCCAGGTGGTTCTTCTTTTGCCTTGCTTTAGTTTTTGTTCTCTCAGACTGTTAGTTGCTGAGGTTTTTGTTGTTAGACTTTTTTGTTCTTTACTCTGTCGTGCCCTTGAGTAGGTAACTAGGTTCTCGTGCTTAAGTGGTTAGTTACTCTTTTGTTGTTTTTTTAGTAGTAGGGATGAGAATCATGCTACCGGGTCAAGTGCTTTTGTCGCTGTCGGATGCAAGATTTCTCATATTTATTAGGTTTGTATTCTCTTTTGCTTTTAGGGAACTTGTCCTTAATGTTTCCCTAGTCTATCTCTTGATGGTACTTTGGGCTACATAGCCACCGGTTTNAAAATAAACAGCCTAGAAGTAGTCAAGTAGAACTCAACTAGATACATATATAATAAATTTGAAAATCATAATTCAACAAGTAAACAACTTAACCAACTACTAATCAATAATGTATCTCTTAGGCAAAAGAATAAGTGGATTTTTCTTATGTACCGTGAGACCCGGTAAAGAATCTGTATCAATATCTTTGGCTTGAATCCCTTGAGGCAATTCCCAATCAAAAGAATGAAGCATATTTGCAAGTGTAAGCTCGACGTTTGCAAGTCCCATAAAAATCGCGGGACAACTCCTGCGGCCAGATCCAAACGGGACTACCCCAAAATCTTGTCCTTTTATGTCGATGTTGCTGTTTAGGAATCTCTCAGGTAAGAACTCGTTTGGGTTTTCCCAACACTCGGGATCTCTAGCAACTGCCCACGCATTAACATAAACGATGGATTTAGGTTGAATTTCGTAGCCTTCTAGTGTACATTTTTCTAGCGTTTCTCTTGGGACCAGCAATGGGACTGGAGGATACAATCTAAAAGCCTCGTTTATGACTGCTTTTAGATAAGAAAGTTTAGGCAAATCATCTTCATCCACGATGTCTTTTTTTTCGATTGAATTTCGAATTTCTGTTTGTACTCTTCGCATGACTTGGGGTGCCTTCATTAGAGCCGTCATCGTCCAAATGATTGATGCAGAACTTGTATCTGTTGCCGCTATAAATATGTTCTACAAAATAATGAGCAGGTACTCGTTCATTTAGGCAAAGTATATTTGAACATGTGGAAATTTGCACGTTTCCCATGTGCAAGTATAATTCTTTTTATGTTGTGCAAGTATAATTCTTTTTATGTTTACTTTTATAGCCTTAATTATACCCTTATTAAACAAAACTATTAACAAGTACTTTCGATACCAACGACCCTTTACCTAAAGCATGGCTATTCAACCACCGAGCATCACATTCACACCATCGTTAATTTGGTTTATTGTAGAACTATAGGGGGTGTTTTACTCGATTTTATAGTGTAGGACTCCAAAAAAATTATATAAATGGAAATTTGGAAAAAAGTAAATGAAAATTGAAGCGTGGCCACGTTTATAACATTTCTTGTAAATAGATTGAAGCCACCAATAAGACCATTTACACAATCCAACTACCACGATTAATTAAATGCATATATAGAAACTGAGAAATAATTATTAAAACGAAAAAAAATAAAAAATCGTACCATTAATAGTGCCTTGATGTTATCCCAGCTGAGGTCAACAGAAGTTGACCCGTTTTGCTTAAGCTGGATCAATGTATCAAGAATATCACCCGCCATGGTGTCGGGCTTGTTCGGATCCAAATGCTCGTCAATAAGCTCCTGATAGAACGAATCCAAATCCTCAAAGGTCCTTTCGAGCCGTCCGATTGACCCACACAACCTGTCCACCCACCCAAATCTTGGATAATAATCCGACACGAAAAAACCGGCCATCAGGGCCTGGGCCCGTTTCAAAAGCCCATCAAACCTCCTCATCTCAGGCCCAAGCCCACTGTACCATTTTCCGAAAGCGATCCTACACGTCAAGGTGGTCCCAACCGCAACAGCTGTCTCACTCATGTTGAGAACCCGATTATTGGCTGCAAATCCCGAGATCTCAGAAATCAAGCGCGAGATCTCGTCCTCCCGCACGTGCCGGAAAGACTGCGTCTTTTTTGAGCTAAAGAGATGGACGGTCGTGATTTTCCTGACCTCACGCCAATAGTTGTTGTACGAGGAAAAGGCAATGTCCGAGCAGTTGTAAGAGAGCCTCTGCCAGCCGAGGGAATTCGGCCGGCCGCAGAAGGCTTGGTCTTGGGTCTTCATGACTTGCTCTGCAAGTTTCGCGGAGGAAATTACGATTAAGGGCTTCGGGCCAACATTCAAGCGCATGATGGGCCCGTATTTCTTGGAGAGGCGCCATAGGTAGACGTGCGGGTTTTTTGCAGCGGCTAATTGGTGCATGTTGCCGATTAGAGGGAGGCCCGGCGGGCCCGGTGGAACGAGTTTTGTTGTCGGACCCCTGTTTGCGTGGAGAAGGTATAATAAGAGGAGTGGAAATAAAGTTGAGAGAAAAATAAGAAGGATCATTTTTTTTGAGGATTAAAGTGTGCTGTGAACGTGGAAGATGTTCAACTATGCTATATGCTCTTGATAGAGAAATTTTCTTCAAAGATGATTTTCTGTTTATAATTTTAGACCACAAGTTTAATAGAATAATTAAGGCCACGTTTGCTGTCCATTACTAGATAAGTCGTAAAAATTAGATTTTTTTAGAAATAATGTTTTTGTGAAAGTGATATTTTACACTGTTAATTTAAGGGAAATGCTCACATGTGGCACATGTTAATACATCACCAATGTGTGCATGCCATATAAGCGGTGGACATACTAACATGTGCCTACCGCGGGCATACGAGTATTTCTGTAATTATTAATGCCCAATCTAGAAACTAGTAGAAAATTTGGGTAATTGCTTAGCCAATAAGATTTCTAGAAATATCATGTGGGTTGCGCAAATTGTCTCTTGATCCGGTCTGAACTGCAATCCGTCGACTCGAACCGTCTAGTCGTCTCCGATGACCTACAACACGCCAAGAGAGATCCTAGCCGAAAAGATTTTGACGCTCAAGTCAGTCCGTGTTCAAGTATAATGCAACAGCAATATATTTTGCGCCAGTGGCGTAGCCAGGATTCGAATTTATCTGGGGCTGACTAATACACTTAGTTGGTATTGCAACATTAATATCGTATGTTTTTCATGATAATTATTCCAATAGTTTTTTTATTATTATTTCAAAACACCATCTACTTATTAATTAATTTATATATTTGTGTTGTAGTTTATTTTAGGAAGATAGCACAAGTTTCAGTGTTAAAAGATCGACATGTTTTTTATTTATTTATTTATTTATTTATTTAACAGAATATCTTAAGGGTATATACATTTAGGATTTTTAAAGATTTTTTAATATTTTAAAAATTTTGTGTATCAAGGTTTATACTTTTTGTGATTTTTAAAATTCTTGAGTTATTATTTTGAGATATTGAAACTTTTAAAAGCTGTGAGAGAATTAATTTATTTAACACTGAAATTTATTAGGACTTTTTAAGATTTAATGAAGATTCGAACACAAATTATATATGTCAAATCTTACTATCAAATCCCATCTTTGAACTTAATTTTTTTAATAAGAATTTCACCAATTAAATAATTTTTTAAAAGTTTCGAATTTAAAAATGACTTAAAATATCACTCCAAATAATAATAATAATAATAATTAAAAAACACACCATCGTTGGAAGTTCGTAAAAATTCATATTACTTGTTAAAAGTGATTAAATTTTACTTTCTTATTGTCGTTAATGAAAATAAAATTAAAAAAAAAATTGTTAATAAAGTGAAATCTTTTAATTGAGATTCAAAAGATGTGCAAATTAGTAAGAGAAATTTTTCAAATTTAATTAGACTAAATCAAACCAAAAGTAAGATATAAATATATTAATACTTGTTCCAATTTTTTTAGGTAGGGCTATAGCCCACCTAAGCCTCCCACATAGCTACGCCCCTGTTTTGCGCGTGTATGTGTGTTGTACAAAATCAAGAACATGTATCCCTTTTATAATTAGGGTTGTGTGTTGTCCAAGAAACTTTTAGTATGGTAAGAAATCCCTCTGTATCGTCATTCTTAACTAACTGAATCTTCCAGTATCTTTAGTATATTCTAGATGATGTACGCTTCCCATATTTAAGGGATTCAGTTCCTCTTAGGTACGATATTTAAGCTCCCAAGGCCATCAAGACCGCTATTCCCCAAAGGAGTTGGAGGTCGTCACTAGACCCCTAGTTTCCGAGGTCGTCGATAGACCCGAAGGTCCCGAGGTCGTCGATAGACCTGAATGTCCCGAGATCGTCCATTGAGGTTGTCGATAGACCCAAAGGTCGTCCCGAGGTCGTCGATAGACCCGAATGTCCCGAGATCGTTGATTGAGGTCAACGATAGACCCAAAGGTCCCGAGGTCGTCTACCTGCTCTAACTCTACTGACCTACAAGTTTCTCTGTTATCCCAACTAATATTTTAAATACCGTACCGTACCGGCCAGTATTACCGGTAATACCAGTGGTCCTACCGGTACAGTTACACTCTAAATACCGATTTGGCAAAAATACTGGTTTCATACCGGAAAATACCGGTTTTATCGGCAAATACCGGCCAAAATACCGATATATACCAATTTATTTTTTAAAAAAAAATATTTTTTAGTATATTTTCATTAATTTATATATATAAATTGAAAGTTTTACAATTCATTTTAATATGTTTACATTGTTGTTAGATGTTAATTAATTTTAGTATTAGTTAAAGTTAGTTTTGTACATTATTTATATTATAATAACAAATTAATTTAATATTTATTGAAACCAGTGAAATAGACAGTAAAACCGGTTGAACAGCGTACCATTGGCTCGTCTGGTATGATGACCGGTACGGTAATAAAACACTGATCCCAACCACTAAACTAGCCGACTCTGGAGCCACTAAATTGGACCAATATTCTCCAGCATGAGGTCGGACTAATGCTCACTGCTGACCTAAGGGGCCCATATGTTCTATGAATCGACCCCGTACCTTGAGGTCGATCTTTCAACGACCATCCTTATATTCGTACTAATTTGCACGTTTCAGACGAGCTACTCTGACTTGCTATAGCATCTATACTCCTATTCTTCAGACGAGCTCCCAAAGCTTATTCAAGAATGTTCAGTGGCATGCCCGCACCAAAATGGATGGCCTGGATTCGCCGACCTTTCACATCACCACGCCATGATCCATGTCGTCCAAACTATCCAGATCAAGCGACGTAGGTCGGCTCCAACCGATTTACCTTCCCACTTTATATTTATATACATACCTAGCCACCTCAGGCCAATTTTCCTGCTTTCGCATCCTTTAACTCTCCATCAGAAGAAAAGATTCGGCATCCCCTGAGCAAACTCCGGCGACTTACTCATTCCGGTGCATCTTTCCCATTTGCTCATCGATATGTCGAACAGTTTCATGGGCAAGCAATAGTTCTTTTTTTATTTGGATTTCCTTTATTTGCTACTGCTCTCTTCCTTGCATATCTTGTGTGATTTATTTATTTACACACACATTTTTCTTCTTTTTTTTTTTCTAGAGCACCTTGCTACCATGACTACTTCAAATACCCCTTCCATTTCAACTCCAAACCCTTAGGAGAACCCTCAATAACCTTAGCCCTACCTACTCCCACTGGCGCGACCAACGAGGTCATGATGGGCGCTGGTGCCAAGGCAAAAAGTGTTGCTTCTTTTGTTAGAATAGTAAGGCCCAACCCTATATCTTCATATTCAACTGGTCGTGTCACCAACCTTTTTCATGAGGTCGAGCTACCTCTGCTATGAGATCTCAAAATTCCTAGGGTCAGAGACACATACTGTCAACCTCCCCCCAGCTTACTATACATTTTTTCTCGACCAAACCGAGGTCCGCGTGAAATTGTCCCTACACAATGACCTCGTAGAACTTAGCTGATTATATCGCCTGCCTTTGAACAATTTTTTCCCTAATTCTATTAGTATCCTAGTTGGTTTCATTATGTTATGCCGAGCTTGCCTTGTTAGGGTCGATCCCGACCTCTGTTTCCCTGCTTCTGGATGAAACCCCAGAAAGGCTTGTATTACCTCTCGAGTCGCAATGGCGCAAGCTTCCTAAAGCAATCCAAATCTAAGGTCCACAACTGAAAAGCGAAGTATTACTTTCTCCAACCTCCACTCGATAAATATGACTTCTCACCTGAGTGGCTGCACGAGCTACCCGACCAACAAAAAAATCCCAAACTGCACGTCGAGTATGACGCCCTTATCGCCCAATGGAATAGGCGACCTCTCAATGTGGTGAAACTGACCTCCGACTTACGATTCCTATCCCACTGCAAGCTTTCGAGTTGCATGGCCAAAATGATAACTGACATAGGTAGCCACGACAAAATTCGTAAATCATATTATCTTATTCGAGCTTAGATGTCTCAACCCATTTTGTTTTTTGCAGATGGCTTGTTCAGTACGGTGGTCACTGACCCGACCTCCAAGCCGAAAGAGGTAAAATCCACTGCCAACCAACAATCGGTGCTAGTCCTCGACCTCGACACCACAGATCCGGCTGCCAGGCCCCCGCCATATCGTAAACCTCCTCAAAAGTGGTCTCCCCTTCGCAATCGTCAGTTTTATTTGTGCGGGCCAAAAGTGGCCTAACTATTAATTATGTATTGATAGGTCGACATGGATAATTAATGGATTAAAAAAACCCTCCTCATGCGACGGTATGAACCATAGATGTCCACACTATCGTGGCTTGTGGTGATTCGGTGCTTTGAGGTGTTGGTGAATTTAATAAAATATTGTTTAAGAGATTAATATTTGAGAATTAAATTCGAAGACTTGACTAGTTAAAACTTATTTTGCATAATCTCTAGAATTCAAAATTTCTTTCAATTGTTTATCCATTATTCTCAAGATAGATTACTTGTTCAAACTTGATTAGAAATAAAATTTGGACAGTACCCTAAATTGCTGAGGAATACAAAATTGCTGAGGAATACAAACCAAAGGACAGTGCCCTAACACAATATACACTCAGACAGGTCCCGTCAAGACGCAAAACAAAAGGTGATCGGGAAAGGTGAAAGAAACACCATCAAGGCGAAAGAAACACCACCATGGTAGCGAACACATAAGCTATAGATACATCATAATATCTATCTTTACACGACGTGAAACAATGGAGTTTACAATTCCACCTAGCGCACACCTAACAACTACCAGCCGTATATCGGGTTCTCCACGTGGGGCGGCAAGAGACCCAGATCATCACTATGCTGCTTGTCATAGTCCCTAGTCCCGGGTATAGCCCCAGTACACAACCTAAGAAATTCATTTCCCGTCAGGCAGTAATGCGCGAGAGCGAGTCCCCCATCAGCCATTTCACTCAGGTTGGGCAACGAGATCGATTTCACCAAACCACTGTTATTTCTGGTCCTGCTCGAATTCGAGTTCGAATCATTATTCAAGAGCTTGCTGAGCTCGGAATATTCCATGAAGCGCTGGGTGGCTGCCTCCCAGGAGAGGCTGTACATCTGCTCGGGTGTCAGAGGCTGGGGCTCGCTGGCCATGGCTTCTCTCACTTTGGTGACAAAGTCCTCAGGCGTCTTGTAGGTTAGGCAGTTGGGGAATGCCCTGAAGAAGTCGTTCGAAGGGTGGTCAGCACAAACGACAAATTTACCCATCGCGAGTGCCTCAGCTGTGGCCGTGCAGAGGACGTCGCTCACACTTGGGTTTATGAAGATTTTGTAGCTGCAGGCGGAATAAAACAAAACAAATGAGAACAAGACAGAAGTGGAAAAAGGAATATTTCTTTTAAAAGGCTCCTTCTATGTGCAGACTATGGAGAAAAAATACAAGAAATAAAATAAAATAAAATAAAAAATCTTTTTGAAACTGTAGAAAATTAAATGTAGATTGTCCTCATTCAAGGAGGAGCATATCTCTACTCTCAGACCACAATTATCGCAATTAGAGTTCATACTGGTCATAATTTTCTAAAACTGCTCCGTAAAAAATTTACAGCCTATATTATAAATGCTTAAAAATCCACAATATCTCTAGATCCCAACAATTCTAGCAATTCTTTACTTTAGTCAATACACGAGAAAGATAGGTTGCATCATGATCACTTCAGGTTTTCTGAAGGAGAATATGTTGTAAAGGGAACATACCCCTGTAAGGAATCATCTGCATGATCTCTGCCTTTCATGAAGTTCAGATTCAAATTAAGCCTTTTGGCAGTGCTCTGAACTTCCTGAGCATCCTCTCCATTGCCATACACGTCCAAGTTGAATCCATCCAGGTCTTTCTTGTGCTTTGATAATAAATCTATCAACTCTTTATACCCTTTTGCCCACACCATTTTGCCTAAGAAATATGCCCCCTTTGAAAATGTTTTCTCCCCGCGCTCCTTTTCGGAAGCTACTTTTTCACCAATTTTCAAGAACTTGGGGTTCACCCCATGAACATTGCAAATCACGGATTTAGGTAAATCTTGAGTTGCAGCAGATAGCCGAAGGACCTATACAAAACACCAAAAGAAGCAATAGTTTAGACCTAAGCAGCAATTACTACATTCAAATATTATATTATAGTAAGGACTAACTTCTATTGGTTGAAAACCCTATAAATATATACTGCGGTACAGATAATGAGAAAGATTTTAGGCAAGAAAATTCGAGAAAGACCACTACCTTGTGACAGTATGCTCTGACCACCCAATTGTTTATGTGTTTGACTAGAAAAGCTTGAAGGGCACCATTCTTCTCCCTCTTGATGTATTCCAAGTAATTTGTATGAACAACACCGACTACATGGTTGAATTTATCAGTCCAACGTTTACCATGGTGGTACCAGTTCAAATGTTCTGGTTCTTCTAGGATTGCAATGTCAGCATCCTTTGAGGAGATAAACTGAGAAGTATCCCCCGCAGGTATAATACTGCGCCTTGCTTTCGAGAACTTTGTACGGAAAAAAGAGCAAAGAAAAAGTTCGAACTGTGAATATTAAACAAATACCTTGACTCATTTACAAATTACATTAAGAGAACACCACTAAAGTCTACATGCATCTATATAGATTTAGATCCTACAACCACCATGACCACTAAAATGATAATATGGCTCTCTAACTATATTAAATATATAGAAAGTATATTTCAACCGTCAACAACCCAAAATTTGCCAAGTAAAACATGATAGTATAAGAAGATGATTCAACAAAAATTAGTTCACAGGAAAAATGTTCCAAAAAAGAATAGACTAAACAAGATAGACGTCACACTGCATTTATCACAAGTATATAAATAAATAAATTGACCAAAAAATAACTACCTTTCCTGGGTAGAATGATATCTTGAAGTCAGCCTTGAATCCAATCCTCTCCTCAAGCCAACTGCGTATATAACTTTCCTGCTCCTCAGGCGAACTAAAAGTGAGGTTGTTGGGATACACAAGCTCCTGATCAGATCTACAAAGCCATGGGACCAAGAGAGTCACATTCTGCTTAGCGGAATTCGCCAAATATGCTGCTCTAAACAAAGGATTTACAGCTGTCCCAGTCATCCAAGGAAGGCTGGCAGTGGTGACAATAGCCACATGCCTCTTTCTCTCAGACACCACGCCATGTTTCCCGACGTCATTCCAAAAACCACCTTCATAACAATGCCCCGTACTCTGGAGAACACTGGCTATCCTTAAATCCAGCTCATCATTGATGTTCTCACTTTCAATTATAGATGACTCTCCCTCAGGTAAAGAGCGCAATAGAAGCTGATTCTTGCGCTTACTGCACAAGCTTTCTACTATCTTGTCCGATATTCCTGAAACACATAAATTTAAAAATAATAAATTGTGGAACAAAAGCCTGGCCAAGCTCTCACTGATTTAACTGATATATCACGTGTTCTAATATCCCGAGTTATCTGGCATGGAAAGAAAACCTAGGTTTTGAGTTCAAACTATGCTTGACTGACGACAGAAAACAAAGGCCTAAACGAAAAAAGTATAAGATTATTTGAACTCTAAAAATATGAACAGAGGTCCAATTTTTCAGACCAATTTATCGTATACCATTGACCACAAAGTCTAAGCTGTTGCAATACCATATATGTTTCGGTAATATGGCAGCAAATAACATTAAAATAACGGACTTGTCACATAAAAAGTAGATAAAAACATTTTAGTAAACTAAGTTATTGATTTTGACAAATAAAACCAATAATAATTATAATCCTAGAAAAGAAAGGACTCAATGTATCTGCATGTTAAGATATGAAGAATAGAAACACTCATAGAAACTGCAAACCTCTGCTAATGCCGAGTTGATCCAGCAAGGGGCTGGACTGTCTTACTAAAGATGCCAGCAGTTCTGGTACATCGAGGGGCAGAACTTCCTGAATCCAGTGAACGGAGCAAACTCATGAGATATAAACTTCTTAATAGATTGGAACACTAGTCTTCTATATATTAATTAGTAGCCCCTTCAATGATAGTTGTCAAGGCATCCACTCAAATTTAAGAGCTTTACATGTCAAGCAATAAACTGGGATTCCAGTTTGAACCATTTTACTTCTCATCTTCTCTTCTCTTTTCCAGACTTTTGGAAATAAAAGGATGATCTTACAAGTGTGAAGTTTGAAATAAGAAGTGAACTAACCTTTGACTCATTTGGATCCTTGCAAAGTGTTTTCTGCAAAAATAATTTGGAACAAAAAACAACAAACAAAAATAATGTCATAAAGATGCAATGTGTAATCTAATAACAAGCTATTACGATAACATTTTATCATGGCTGGAGTGGACGGATTGATATCCGCTTTTTATATATCCAACTTGATAAAGTAAAAATCACAAAATTCACCAATTTTATCATTACAAACTCTGCCACTTAATGAGTAGGCACTTTACAAAGTATAATACCAATTTTGGATACCAAAGAAAAGAAATGGAAAAAGAAAACAGCAAAAACACATGATTAATCATCTGGAGCACTCCAATCAACTAAAGTGTCATAAAAGAATAGTAAAATACTATTACTCGACAAGAAACGTGAAATTCATACCAGGCTTGATTTGAATTTCTCGACAAACTCACTATTCTTAATCCCCTCAAAAATCTCACTGGAACTCTTGTGCTCTAATTCCCTCAGCCTCGACTTCAACGTCTTAATCGGTTCCCAGAATTCCCCAAATTGCCCCTCCTCCCTCTCCCTCTCCTTGAACTTCGCTCTCCACTTCCTGAAGTTTTCTCTCTCATCCTCCACATCATCCTCCCCCACCTCCGCAACAATCGCGTTCTTAATCGCTGATAAATCGATCTTAATCTGCGGCCGCTGGTAGAACTTGAAATCCGGCGACGAGTACACCCTTCTGATTTCGGACAGTTTTGGCTGAAGCTTCTTCACGAAGTCGATTTCGGCATGAGGCGCCGGGTTGAGAGTGGCGGAGGCGGTAATCGAGGGCACGCTGAAGGTCGATTTGGAGGCGGAGTTGAGGAAATTCTCGAGCTCCCTGTCGGCTAGGTTCTTAAAGGAGTTGGCCCGGTTCTTGAGCAGCTGGAGATCGGCGTCCGCGGAGGAGCGCACCTCGCGCCACCCCTTGGATATGAAGGATAAAGCCTTCTCCGCCGTCACGATGGAGCTGCTGGATCCCGACGACTTCACCGTCGGGGAGGCCGACCAAGCCTCCGGCGGCTTGAAATTCATCGGTTCCTCTAACTATTTCTTCTCTGTTTTCCGATCAATTTCTAGGGCTACGGCGAATAGGAAGATTGAATGGCGGAGGATAAAGTTCCTGCGTGTGAGGATGTTTTAACGGCTAAGATTTGAGTATTTTATATTATTTTCTGATAAGATAGGGGATCAGGAAAAGATTATGGTATTATCATATACACATGCTAAAGCTATGCTAATAAGTGGCGTTAAATAATAATAAGGGCTTTGGTGTAATTTTCACAAGGGTGAAAGAAGTTGATTTAGGGAGAGTGACACGTGGATGTACACGTAGAACGAATCAGTTGATTTGGAAATCCTGGAAGCAGTGAGTTGGAAGCGTGTGATTTGATGATTTCGACTGAAGCACCTGACGGGATCACTCGGATCTATGTGTTCTTTAGGGGGGCCATTGTCCCCCAAAATTTGTAATTTCTAGTATATATATATATATGATAAGTATATTATTTTTCACATAAACTCACACAATTATATTAAAATAGTAATTGTATTACTCTTTTTATTAATATTTCAACTATAATTATACTCTTTTATACTTTTGTATAATATTTTTTCTAATTTAAATAAATTGAATGTATAGTAAATATGTGAAAAAAAATAAAAATTGATAATTTTTGAAAAAGAAGACCATATAAGATATTCTTAATGGAGAGAAAAAATATCAAACTATTAGTATTGAGTCAATCATTAATGAAATTCATGAGTTGAGAGAGCGTCTCAATGTAAATTTGTTAATTTGTAAATATGTTAATGTCAAGGTTTGAAACTTTATAATGTACATTGCACCATTATTATGTATAATTTTATAATACAACTTTCTATTTTTTATGTACGTAAATTATATTTGATTATTGAAAAACATATAGTCCCCCTAAAAAAATATTCTGGATCCGCCCCTGGCTGGCGTGTCCTGAAATGTTTTGAGTTGATGTCATCTCAATTCTCGAATAATGTAGGAGGAGTAGTGTAGAGAAAGGAGGAGTAGTGTTGTAATCGAACCTAACCAAATCGAGCTTGGGCTATTCGAGCTCGTGTTCGTTTACGTTCAAATAGTGTTCGTATTCGTTCATTTATTTTTCGAGAAAAAATATCGTGTTCGAGTTCGTTTGTTTGATTGTTCGTCAAAGTTCGAGTTTGTTCGTGTTCGAATAATTTAATATTTAAACTTTTTAAATATGTTTGATTAACTCGAAATTTGTTTCTCGAAAATAAAAGAATAAAATAAAAATATTTTTATATTATTAAATTTATCATTAAAAATGTTATGTAAATATATAAAAAATAAATAAAATTAAATTTTAGATTTTTTATTAAAAGTATTATGTAAATATATAACAAATAAAATAAAATTATATTAAATTAATGTTCGCGAACATAATCGAACGTTCACGAACGTGCTCGTGTTCGTTCGATTATTAAACGAGCCTAATTTTCTGTTCGAACTCGGCTCGATTAATAAACGAACAAGCTTTTGTCGAACACGAATGAGCTTTTGTTCGCGAACGATCAGTTCGTTTATATCTCTACGGAGGAGTATTGAATAATACAAAACAAGAAAAGTTAAAAGGAAAATGCTAATGCAAAAGTGAAGGCGAGTTTTTTTTTTTTTCCTCTCTCAGACCATAAACTTTAATAACAGAAACGATAAACTTTAATAAAAGAAAAATACATAATTATGAATTAGAAAGCAGCTAATTAGTCGAATTACTCAGTCACTCATCTGGATTTAGTTGGAGGACAAACCTCACAGGCATTTAACCCGAGGCCGCCTAGAACTAATCTAAACATAGAAAACCACACTAAAAACAAAAACTTCAACAGGAGAATACATTCCCAACGGCATAATAAAACACATAACAAAAACACATGACTAAACAAAAAACACAAAAACACAAAACAAACAAAAGCACAAAAAAACTACTACTAGAATAACGCCCTCCCCGCCAATCGACCAGCATTCAAGACCTTCGTCACCCGACCTACTCCAAAGTGGGAAATAGAAGAGACTCCAGCCCCCAACCCAAACACACAGATCGAGAAACTCCTCCTACGGTTAACTCGACCTGGACCGACAGAGCTGAAACCTCCCCCGAAGGACCACCACAGACAGCTCTGAGAGACCGGTAACCAAACGGCCTCCCCGTCACATATGTGTTATAGACAAAATATTATAAATTTATAGGATTATTTAAATTTGTTTATGAAGGAACAATTTGTTATGAGATATATAAAAAATCTCAGACGTCCACAAATCTCTTTTTATTTTTTTATTTTTTTTCCTCGAAACGATAGAGGTAATATATAACTAAACCGCACAAAGTGCGAAAAGAAAGCATCCAACAATTGAGAATTATAACCAGAGGCCTAAAATTGGGAGGACAATCCGAAGATCGCCTAAATCCTAAACTAGCAACGCTAGAAAAGCAACTCAAACGATACAAAACTACAAAAAACACAATAAAAAACTACGAAACGATCCCCACGGGATAATGCCCGAGTCCCAAATCTCTTTTTATGGTATTGTCTTTTACAATTGTTTTTCAAAAACAAAATTTTCAAAATTTTGTATAGTAAATCGTATTTATATTTTTTGTATACACTATATATATATGTATATATATACATATATATATATATATATATATATATACTATGCAATGTTTTTCAGGTTGTTATACATATTATTCATGCATATTTTATACGTAATACATATTATTAACGCATATAATTACTAGTATTTTTTGAAGTGTAATACATATTATTCACATATAATATTTTATATATCTTTAAGCATGATATTTGGGCAAATTTTTTACACATCCTATAGATTAAGTTCTCTCTGTCTCTCTCTTTATATATATATATATGTGTGTGTGTGTGTGTGTGTGTGTATGTGCGTGTGTGTGTTAACTTAAGTGTTTTTAAAAATGTTTTACTTACAAATAAAATCTTTAGGTGACCTCATATTTTTTTAGAATAACATATAATATTTTAGATAATCTTACATATGTTATGTAATATTTTATGTGTTTTTAATATTTTAAACATACATATTTAATGTCTTTTTCTATAATTAAAAAAGTATAAAAATATTAGTAAATATTACTTAGTTAATCAAGTATAATCGATATTAAAATGATAAACTAATAACATTTTTCGAACTGCCATGTAAATTATCATATGATAAATATCCTTCCAATCTTAGGTTTCCATTTATGTTTCAGCGGCATCAGTTCCTACTTATAATTTTGTATGCACGATGATAAAGAAGACTCCGTTTTTAGTCATGTCCAATTATATATTATTGTTTCGTGTGTAAGTAATAGAAAGAAGTTGAAAATATTAGTTTGTGGATGACGAGTTGCCCATTAATCAAACTAATAATGTTTCGTACAAGTAGGTTTTTAATATTAATATATTATTTTTTTCTGAGAAACATTTTTATGATTTGACAATTTTCCTACGTATTATCACTCTTTTGTTTATTAATATACTTCAATTCATAATATTTCACTCTTTTATTTATTAATGCACTTCAATTTATAATATACCCTAAAAAAAATACAGCTCATGCATCGCACTGGTTACGTATTGGTATATATAATAAGAATAAGGTTAAATCATTTTTAGAAAGTCTTTCCCGCCATAAACATTAATTACACACTAAAAATAGTAATTTTTAAAATTCATTTGAAATAAAAAAAAAAGTAGCATTAATTGCATTCATTATAGTTACCTTTAAAAACAAAATCCATTTACATATGGCGTTAACATCTATTTTGTTAACAGATTTACAGTCAAATCTTTTTGATTTTACCATAATTTTTTGTTTATGGTAATGGTTTTGTGAAGTANGTATTTATTTATCTTCATAGTAATAGGTTTTAAAAAATCAACGATTTGGAACCACTTGAGATAACATATGTAGAGTATTTATTTATCTTCATAGTAATAGGTTTTAAAAAATCAACGATTTGGAATCACTTGAGATAACATAGACCGATATTATTCTTCGATTTGGAATCACTTGAGGTATACACAGACCGTATAATTCTTTCCAACCAAATTCTCCTGATTTTATATCTCTCTTCTTACATATAAGAAAAAGTGTGAGGAACTCTATGCTTGACATGTTGCGATTTTTTCTGCCCAAAATACCCCCGCTTTTGTCCCTTTTTTACATCTACTGCCACATTTTACCACTTTCTCTTATGGTGCCAAATCCCACATGATTTGACGAAATTGTCGTCACTTTATTTTGCTTTTTTGGAATGTTATGGTAATTTTCTTTCTGGTCAACATTGTTCTGCCAACCCACGTCCTCAATATCATTTTCTTTTGTCGAAACGCCGCTCTGGGAAGATTTGGTACCTGAAAATCTGGTTCATCTGCGTGTGCTTGCGTGATTGATTTGAGTTCCGCAGAGAAAAAGGCGAAACTTAATAGTTAAGCTAGAATCGATCTTGCATCTCTCTCTTTCCAAACCTATTTCATCCAATTTCCTCTAAATTGACAACCCTCCAAAATCTTTGAGTTTGTGACGGCGGTGAAGATCCACATACCATGTTCGCGAGCGGCAGCAACCGGCGGCTTCAGGCAAATGGCGTCAGTCGCGGCGTATCGTCGAGCGAAATCAAGCACCATTGCCAAGATTTGTCGGGTTCAAGAATCAGCATAGCATCAATACAATCGGCGACTGCTCAGATGTCCCTTTTGTTCTTTCATCAGCTCAGATCTAATCTTCCATGGCCAATTTCCATTTTTTCCTTTGAAGAACAAGACATTTGCCTTTTTTGAAACATAGAACAGTACTAGTGAGCGGTCTTTTCTTAGTTTTTTTGCAAACCAATTTTTCGATTTCAAGAAATAAAAATGTCCACAAGAGTTTTGAACAGTGGTGGGATTGAAGCAGGTGAAGTTTTTATAGAGAGAATGGTTGTTTTATATGAGGTTGAGGATAATGGAGAAAATGAATTATTTAAAAATTCAGTAATTCAGAATAATTATAGTTGTTCAGAGTCATCACCATCTATTGGGAAAAACAGTGATCTTTATGAGAAATCAATTGAGATAAGAAGATGGCGAGGAGGTGCAAAGTGCGTATAACAAAGGGGCCTTGGACGCCATGGAACCTCTAGAGGAAGGCTTGCCAGTCAGGTAAAAATTCTTTTCTTTAGTTTATTATTTTTTATTTAAATTTTGCATCTGAATTTTCCTGATTCTTTTATATTTCTATTTTTTTAGTTTTTTGTTATAGTTATTGGTGTGAAATGTAATTCTGGATTTGTGTTGCATGACCTTTAATTTTTTTTGGAAATTGAAAATTCATTGTCTTGATCACTTTTTATGATCCTTTCTTGGGCAAAGATGGGGACTTTTTGGTTCATGTTTCCAGTTAAGCAACCAGGATTATTTGTTTATTTTGTTTTGGCTTTTTGTATTATTACTAGGGCAAATATGTGGAGTTTGCTTTTGTTTTACATTTCATTTTGCTTTCAGATTTTTCATAGTTTTTAAATGGAATTCTTCTTTTAATTGTAGTCTTTTAACTTAACAGTAGCGTGAATACCCATTGGATTTGATGGAAGATGAATGGAACAATATAGTGAGCACAAATATGAGGAGGGACTGGCTGGTCTCAAAGTTTGTTTGTAGTCGCATGCGTGATGCTCGACTGGGCGGGTTTGTTATCGATATCTCCTCTATCATGGGTCTTAATCGGGGGCACTTACCGGGAGCTTTAGTTACGCGCCTCAAAGGCTGCTGTTAACATAATAACAAAGGTAATATTTTTGAAATCAAATGCAACTGCCAGGCGTGTAACAATTTGCGATTTAATTTGTACATTTTGCTTTGGTTGTTAATTTTACCATTTTGTAGTTTGATGATATGATTGATTGATTGATTGTTTGATTGGGTTATAAGAAAATGCGTCGTCGGAAGGGTGTCGTGAGGTATGCTGCGGCCCAATGATGTTACCGAGTTGTGGTCCTCATCATCAGCCATGGATGCTCGGCTCCTCAACCTCTGATCTGCTCTCCCGTCTTGGGGTTGCTTCAAGGTTCTTCTTTTTTCAGAAGCTAGACTTGCAATGTTCTATCTACGTGTCTTCCGGGGAGTCCATGGAATTTTTGTAGGACTCTTGTCACATTTTGACCCTCCTAGACATGCTGAGACTATAAGAGGCAATGAACTTGGGCGTAAACGTTAAAATGATAACTTGGTTGAGCTAAAACAATTATATGTTAATTGTTTGGGGTATAGGAGTTGAACTAAATCTGAAAAATAAAAGGGAAAAAATTGGAAAAGAAATAGCGTGACAAATTGTTTGTACTATTGTGTTTTATGTTGAACGAGTTTCCAGGTAGATTAACTTCCATTCATCTTGGAAAAATAAAGCTTCAACTGCTACACCTTTTTATTTTGACAAGTTCACGAGATGCAATATTCCTTTCATTTTTCATTTTCATTTTTTTAAATGTACATGGCTCATATTGGATCAATATAGACCAGGTGATCAGCTTGCAATAGGAAAGAAAACAGGGCATCGTTTGGGTATGGGAACAAACATGTATCTATCGTCTTCTCTGTCGGGACAAGAACGAACAAGGGGCCCTAACAGGTAAACAATGTTTTGCCATCATATATCAATCACGATATTTTATGCAATGAACCTAAGTAAGTGAAATGAATTGCAGTAACATGTCTTGTGGGGAGTGATGGTCGTCATTGTATGTGTTATGTTGGATTCTGCTTGATTAAATGTTTCTTAGCAATCTACTCATCCTAAATGTTGAAATATTTCCAATTTATTCAATTCAAATTTGTGTAAATTTTTTCTATTAAATAAATGTTACATCAGTATCAGTGTCGATTTCTGCTTTAGATATTCTTTACCAATCTGCTAAGCTCAAATTAATGAAGTAATAGCAATATTTTGAGTTACATTATCTATATCAATACTATGTTTGTTTTTATTTTGGATTTACATCATACTAATAGGTTGATGGGTTGCCCGATTATAGGTGTAATTTTAGACCCAATTTTCACAATGCAAATGGGAAAAATCAAGGGCATATGTTTCTACTCTGCCATGTTGTAGTTGACATCAGTTCATCATGGTTTTACTATTTTTACCAGGTCATTTGGCTTTTATTGTTACACAATTAAGACGTCAAATATTTAAGAGTAGCCTAACGAATATCTCCAACCACATAACGTTCTCCATATAGTTTGTATTTTTCCGTTGTTCGATGATGTCTTGAAAAATATTAATACATTTATCTCTTTTCGCATTATCTAATTCTTGGCATATGATGTTATTGGTTTTTAATTGAATTTTTTTATTCTTATTTTTTGTTTGTATGAAATTCTTTATATTGGTATTTTTTATTACTACATTTTAAAAATGACAGAGCACCAGATTTCAATAGTTATTTTCATTCTTGCCTAGCTGGCAATGTTGATGAAATTTAACCTGAATGAATGCCATAATATTCATCACTTGCATTTCATTAAGTATATTTTTATTATTGAACCCCGTGTAAGGTCACAGATGCCAAGACTTTCTAAACGAAAACAACATTGTTGAAGGGTCCATCTGTGAGTTACGCTCATACCATGAAGTAATTGCTTTCAAGGTTCAAAGCAAGTCAAAGTTTCTATTGCTACATTGGGTAGATTATTAGGTGAATGATAATTTCTTGCTTTTTACGTGGGTAATGGTGAAACGAACACTATCTTTTTACGTGTTCTATGATTGTTCGATATTTTATCATGTTGTGAGACTCATACTTTTATGATAGATTCATATCAAGTAATTTCAACCTACTTTTAGAAATGCTGCCAAATATATGTAAATGTACTATTTGAGTCGAGCAAATATATGCATAAGGTTTGACATTTTAAGCTGCAAGTTTTTTGGCCGACGAAAAAACAATAAATATTTTACAATTATAGACTAAATTCGGACCGGCTGCGCGTGCACAGTCGAGAGCCCACTAGTTTTAGTAAATATTACTTTTACAATATCTTTCGAAATGGAATCGGTACGAAAATAAATTGATGGAATATAAGAGATATAATCAAAATCACTCAAATTTCAATAACAATATTTTTTTAAAGATTCATTTTTCAATATGTTCCGTCAAATGAAATGAAAAGATAAGGATAATATAATGAAAATATAAAACTATATAAAACTCATATACCAGATATATAGACATTGTTTTTATGTCTATTATAAAAATTTTCTCTAATAAACTTAGTATGAGGTGGTTATTCACTAGATACTCTTTTTTACACATTCTATATACTAAGGATCTATATCTATATATGTACATATATATGTTAAATTTAAGTGATTTTAGATATTGTCTTTACAAAATAGTTTAGAAAAAATTTAGGTAACTACTTCCCTTTTTTTTAAGAATAATATTGAATATTTTAGATATTTTTACATATGGTATATCGTATTTTACATGTTTTTAATATTTTAAACATACATGTTTTATGTTCTTTTATACAAGATAATTTTATATTGTTCACCACACAAACTGATATACGTAAATTATATCACATATTAACTCCAAATTTTTAATTTATAATTATTATTAAATATTATTTTCACACAACTTTATTTTGTAAATAATTTTATTCATACATGCATCACACGAGTTACGCACTAGTATAAAATACAAAAACAACAAAGGAACTCAATAATCAAAATTATAGACAAACAAATATAATTAATACACATGAGTGTTGCATCCCGAGCATATTTTGGTAATAACACTGGGAGATGATATGGTCAACTTCCTTGGACCCAAAATACATGGCAGACACACGCACATAGTCTTATCATGATCAACATCAACAACTTTTGGTTTCATTTTTGTCCGGCCAATTCTTTCTCATCTACTCCGAGCAGAAGCATAATCTATAAAACATAAAATCATAACTAAAAGGTTGCTCCATGAAGATAAACAAAACAATAGAAAAACACACACACACTTTACAAAAACAATAAGGAAAATAGCATAAGATATGCCGTACACAGTGTTCGAGAAGTTGTTAGGAGCCGCTACGCACTCGACCAACGCTTAGCGCCTAGAGCGTCTAGACGGGACTTAGGCGGCGCCTAGGTGGAGCCTAGAAATCAATATTAAATACTTTTTTTTTTTTTAAAAATATCTCAACTTATAATAAATAACACACCTAAGTCCAAATAATAATATTAATATGTTATAAAGAAAACATGATAACAAAATAATGCAATTAGTATTTAAAATAAATAAATAAATAACAGAAAAATTTTCGCCCAGCCCGCCTAGGAGCGCCTAGGCATCGCATAGCTGCCTGATCGATTTTTTCAGCCGATTTATGCAAATCAGAGGCGGCCAGGAAGCGGCTAGCACCTAGGCGGCCGCGTACGCCGATTTTTAGTGCAGAGGTCGTACATAAACCAAATATATGCATTATACTTAAGATGGATCGTAGTCGGGATGAGCACTGACCGGTTCGGGTTTTCAGAACCTTATTTTACACTATAGGCAGAGAACGCCAAGTAAGGAAGATTTGATCGAAAAATGAATTGAAAATTGGAGAAGCAGGCGTATCCTCTAGAAATATGGATGGAGAATTGGAGATTAAAGAGGAGCAATTTTCGCAAATTTATGAACTAGTGTAAATTGTTGTTCTTCTGTAATAATTGTAATGGTAGATTGAAAGACCATATCAT